AAAAATACAAATACAAACTATGATAATAACAACAATAGTATACAAATACCAGTATTTACAGTTAGTGATTCAAAATTATTAGATGAATTAAATTATATATATAATTACGATATAAAATCAAATGATTCATTACAAATTTTACGTGTTCAATTATTACCACCACAACCTATTCCTGTTAATTCATGGCTTTTTGCAATGTTTGCTGTAGGTGGTATATTAGTAACATCTTTCTTCATTTCTATTTTGATTCACATGAGACTTTATCGTCTAAGGAGGAATCATCAAGAAGAAATTAGACGGCAAAGAACATTATTAGATGATGGTACAGGAATGAGAAAATGGACATTGGATAAAGATGATATTAAATCTTTAAGAAGTTTTATTTATCCAAAGAAAACAGATGCATCAAAGAAAAGCACAGAAATATCAATATTAACGGAAATAGATGAAAAAAATAATTCTACTTTGACTAATGAAAATTCTGGTGATAAATCAATTAGTAGTAATGAGAATTCTAAGGAATCTACTAATATTCCTCGATCATTGATTCATAAATCCTCCATAAGATCTAATAGATCTACTAGATCCACTAAATCTACCAAATCCACACGTTCTCAAAAAGCAATAATTAACGCCACTTCTTTATCAGAATCAACTCAAAATCCTATAATTTTGGATAATAGAGCAGAATCGCCATCCGAAGATACGGAATTGGAAGAAACATGCGCTATATGCCTAGAAGATTTTGACGAAGGCGATAATATACGTGAATTGCCATGCCGTCATTGGTATCACGTTGAATGTATTGATCCTTGGTTAACAACAAAAAGTAGTTCTTGTCCTTTATGTAAAAAAGATTGTAAACCTTCTATTGGTAGTGAGAGTAACGAAAATACATCAATATCGGTCAATAATGAGAATGAATCACAAGGTACTCAAGCGGTAGATGTAGATTCTAGTTCGAACTCAACTAATGCTAACGCTCCGAATGTAGTTTTGAGAGTAGGTAGATGGTTTAGAGGATACTTTTCATCACGAAATGGAAGGGGGGATAGCACAAGAAATGTAACAACAAATTCTTTACAGAATGAAAATGAAATAATGGAATTAGAGAGTGTTCGATCTGTGAATTAAAAAAAAAAAAACACGACTAAACAACAATTTATAATTTCGTAATTAGAAAATTAGTGGTTTTATTCACTTTTTCAATTTTCCTTATTTTCATTCTGTAACAACATGTTATGTATATTTTTAATTTTGGAACATTATATAATGTAAACTATCATTAGTTTTTTGTGTTATTAGTATTTCTGTGTTATTTATTAATATAACAATGTTTAGCTATCTGCTATTTTGCTGATGTTTTTTTTTAATATAAAAATTTCAATAAAGATGTTTTATCCAACATAAAGTATTAACCCAGAATATTATAAAAGTAATAAAATTTTGCCTATTAAAAATGCCGCTCACTCGGAATGATACAGTAGTACTGTAAAGTAAAAACATAAATATGCAATCATGAGTGGTTTAACAAAAAAAAAAAAAAAAAAAAAATAATTGCGCGCGCCGGGAATTGAACCCGGGTCTGCCGCGTGGCAGGCGGCAATTATACCACTAAACCACACGCGCATTTTATATTATTAAGAATTTATTTTAAACTTTTATCATCTCTAAAAATTAAACACACTGCGTAATGTATTCAAACCTTTATTACCGATAATGGTTAGATTTAGAGTTAGTACTAGGAATTTTTTTGGTTTAGACAAAATTTTGAGTTATCGTTATCAGTAATTCTCGATATGATTAGTAGTATAATTTATAACGTCATTTACAGTAATTTAGCATAAAATTTGATAACGATAACGATAAATTATTAATCAGGCTTTTATTATTTCCTTAAACCAAAATTGGATAACGTAGGATCTGATAAATTTTTTTTATAGTAAAAGCCTCGCTTTAAAAAAATATAAAATTTTTTAATCAATAATAAAGAAATAGAAAATTTTTTTTAATCAATAATAAAGAAATAGCAAATTAATAATATTTATACTCTGCGCAAAGTTTGACGTGCTGAATAAATATTTTTAAAGTTCAATGTTTTTTTTTTTATTAGCCTTAGTCTTAAGTCAAATTTCCAAATCCGCAGTTTTATATAACACTAACGCCAAGGGGTTTCAAATTAACGCATTTCAAAATCGTACGTATTAGTATATTTAAATTTTAAGATCAATCATATTATTTAAATTTTAAGATCTACAAGCCTGTGTGATCTGTAGAGGTGCGATCCGTTTGACGATCTTACTCTAAAATCAATTATCTAAAAAAAATAGATAATATATAAATTATTGAACGGATCACATCTCTAGTGATCTGACTATTATAAAATATTGTAATAGGTACCACATATCGATATATATACTCAAGTTCAAAGTATTCATTAAATTCTTCATTCGAAATAGGCGTGTAAAGGAATATCTGAAAATTGCCTGCATTCATTGTAACACAAATAGGTTTTAAAATCTACTTTTTTAATATTGTATATCGATAAAGAGATCCGTAAGATAGAAGTATCGGGTATGAAATTAATAAATCGGTCGAGACAATTTTAGTTAATCGAATATTCACAGATTCTCAGATTTGAAAAACGTCCATAATAAAATTAGAGATTTGATAATGAATGAATGAATGCACCATTTCAATAAGTAAATCGCTTTTTAGTCTAAAAAAAGTCGTTTCTTGGGATTTTCTCTCTAATTGTAATGGTTTTTTTTTTATATAATAGTATCCAAAGTTAGGCAATTAATAATTAGAAACCTAGTCTGATATTTATAATTTTATTACCATTGGCATCAGAAAGTCCTAATTAACAACTTTTATTAAGACCAATAAGAATATTTACAAAACACGTGTTTGGAATTTGAGAATGCCGATGACAGTTATACTTTTCTTAAATAGGAAAATGAAATTCTAAATTTCCATTGGTGTTTCGGAATTTACCTTTTCGAATGAAGTAAAATTTTTAAGTTATTAACGACGCTCTTTACATTTATTGTTTTTTTCAACATATATAACAATTGTTTTTTGCATAATAACTGAATATTTTCTTTACTCATATTCTTGAATTATTGGCATACTATATGTGTATGTGGTGCTATTACAATATTTTATATAAATAATCACGCAAAACAGAAAAGTTATAGATCTCAATTATTATGTATAAATGATTTTTAAACTCCCTACTTATTTTTGAGATACACTAATTATATTAGCGTTAGCAATTAATTTAAAAAAGTATCGAAATATATTGATTTGAGATAACCGGGATTACAGAATATCCGTAACCTGACCAGTCTAGTACAAGCACGATTTTAACAAAAAAAAAAATCATACTAATCTGCTATTAATTTAGTAAACACCTACCGGTATATTTAAATTATAACTTATGCGAATGATAATTTTAATTTAATTCTGACCAATAGTATCAATTAAATTTAAATAATATCTAGCATTTAATCCTTCAGTTTTTTCAGATAGCATAATTTTCTTGTATTCAATTAAAATTTTTTATAGAATTTAATATACAAAAAAAAAAAAAGATATCGACTTATCAGATAATATTACTAAAATATCTAGTGCTTTTAATCAATTAAATTTCATTGGATTCAAAAGAATATTCTGGCTTGGTTATTGTTATGGATACGGAATTGGAGTCAAAAAAAAGTATTTATTCATTTACCAAAAGTTTGCAGATATAAATAATTTTAACGGAATTTATCAAGTTGACTATTGTTTTTTCTAACTTGAGCGATCTTGCTTGTCATTTATTAGAGGAAATATCAAAAGATACATATAAGATACAAAATATATAAATCTTAAAACTAATCTATAACTATATCTCTCTTCACTGCAATTCTGGACTCACTTGGCTGCCAAATGGTGTTCAGGTGTGATCTGCTGCAAAAATCATTTTTCTCTTTGCAGTAATTCTTCTTGAAAAAGATATTATCCTTGAATCAACAAAGGTAATTTCAGACTCTATCAAGATCTTAAGTCTTTTCTAACTTAGTTAATACTAAGCTACAAGTAGTTAACACCTAGTCTCAAGATAGAAAAAAATAAAAATTGTTATTAATCTAAAAGTATTAAGCTTACTAACAAAGAAAACTTGTCTCAAGTTATAAAAATTTTGTTAGGCAGTAATATAATAAAAGAGACAGAATGTATAAAAGAACTAAAAAAAGGTAACCAGATACTCTGTAATCTAAGTTAGGCTTAAAAATTTTAAGTTATACAACTTATAACCTATCTTAAATAATTTTTTTTCTAATATATAATCTATTCTTAAAATCTAGAACTTGTAGTATTAAGATTATATAACAAACTATACAATAAACAAAGTATATAATTTTGTTTACTACATGAGATTACATATCTACAGAGTATTTCTAAAAATAGAAGAAATAAACAATGCTAATCTTTTGTAAGGGAGAATTTGAATTCTCTACTTATGTTGAGAAAAATAGAAAACCAGAGAAAAAAAACTTATAAAAAGTTCTTGTTTTTTAAGATCCAAAAGAGTGTATAGACAAAATAATTTATTGTCTCTTTCTTAAAACTTTTTTTACTAACTTCATTAACAAAGAGCTCTTGATATTTTTTTACTAAAATTTTTTATACAAAAACTCTCTTTACCTGTTAGTTATCTTATATAATATCACTTTTAGCTTGCATGTTAAATATACAAAAGAGTCTCTAGTAGCAAGCCTAGTTGACCTCTATAAGAACTATTATATTATAAAAAAAACTTCATCTTTCTCAATAAATTTTTATTTTTTTTTGCTTTTTCAAATTTTTGCAAGTTAGCTATTATTATTATTTAAGAATTAAATTAAATGAAAATCAAAAAAAATTTAGTTACTTTCTCTTCTGATATAGTTAAAGTGCTTGAGTTATGAAGATATATTTAGAAAGCTACATATATATATAAGAGAATATACTTGGTCTAACAGAAGACTGAGTTTAAGAATAGATACATCTGAGTATCAAGAGAATTAAGCTAAAATATAATTAGTTGTGAAATATTTAACTCAAAATATATTACAAAAAGTAATTATAAGATTTTATAAATATAGTTTATAATAGATTTTAATTAAAAAAGTAGATCAGTAGTTTGTAACAAAAGGCTAAAAAAAAAAAAGTATATTCTAAAGCTAAAAAAAAAATAATAAAAAAAGATTAAAAATGTATAGTACAAAACTAGATATAATTCTAAAGAAGAATTAAGATATTATTATAAAAGAGTTTGAAGCAAAAAAGATTAGCAAAGAGAAAATATAAATAAGTTATAAGATATTATATTAGAATATATATTAAAAAATATATATAAAATACTATTAAGTAAAGAAGTTAGAATAGAAGCTAGTTCTATTAAAAATTTTAGTAGTAGTAATATAATTCTAAAGAAGCTAAAAATATTATTACAGATATTCAAACTCTCTCAAACCTTCCTAACAATAAAGCATGTGATCCATCAGGTATTAGCTATGAAATGCTTAAACATGCAAGTAATCTGTTCTTGTAAATGATTACAATTTTGCTCAATAGATGCCTAACTTCTCAAACAATTCCTAAACAATGAAAAGAATATTATATCTTCCTAATCTCAAAAAAACCAGTATTCGATGGCAACTTGTATAATACTAGGCCAATTAGCTTTATTGAACATATGAAAAAACTCTATACAAAAATTCTTACAAACTAGCTTAATATCTCTTTAATGACTAAACAAATTTTATCACCATTCAACTATGTTGCTCTCTCAAGAAATAGCACTACTACTCTAATTCATATCCTCAATAATATTATTGAAGATTATTATTGCAACAACAAGGAGCTTTGGCTACTATCACAGGATATAAGCAAAGCATATGACTCAGTTAACATAAACTTACTTCAAAAAGTACTTGCAAGAATTCAACTCCTACCTCAACTTATTCAAATCATACTTGATCTACTCTCTAACTGTTCTAGCAAAATTATTACTAACTTTGAATTTACATAATTCTATACAGTTAAAAATAGAATTGACTAAAGAGAAAAAATTACACCTTTCCTATGATGTAGCTACTATGATC